CTGACTCTGGGCACTAACAGGAGTCCAGTCCCTGTGCTCCTCATAGTCCGGGCTGGTTCAAATGGGACTAACATGTCACTAATATATTTTGGTGCAAGGCCATGGAGAGACTTGTAACTTGCAGAGCTGTTTTAAAGTCTATTCTCTGAGCCACAGGAAGCCAGTGCAGAGACCTGAGGACCGGACTAATGTGGTCGTACTTCCTGGTTCTAGTCAGGACTCGAGCTGCTGCATTTTGAATGTACTGCAGCTGTTTTACAGCCTGTTTGGACAGACCTGTGAGCAGGCCTTTGCAGTGTCTAACCTACTGGAAGACAAATGCATGGATAAGAATCTCCAGGTCTGCTTTAGACACCATGTTTTTGATCCTGGCAATGTTTTTTAGATGGTAAAAAGCTGCTGTTTTAGGGAGAGAGACTGGACTGGAGGTGACAGATGACACTCTCTCTTTGTTTCTGGGGACCAAAGACAATCATTTCAGTTTTGTCTGCGTTTAGCTGAAGGAAGTTGTTTTGCATCCACTCACTGATCTGTTGGATACAGTGAAGGAGTGAGTCCACTGGTCCATGTTCTCCTGCAGTCAGTGAGACATAGATCTGAGTGTCGTCTGCATAGTTGTGATAGGAAACTTCGTTTCTGCGTATTAACTGACCTAACGGCAGCATGTAGAGATTGAACAGAAGAGGTCCCAGGATCGACCCCTGTGGTACTCCACAGGTCAGGGCCATTATGATCTGAGACACAGTTTCCAATCTCCACAAAGTACTTCCTGTCTTCAAGGTAAGACCTAAACTAACTTAGGGCGGTGCCAGCGACGCCAACCCAGTCATCTAGTCTCTGTAAGAGGATCTCATGGTCGACGGTGTCAAAGGCAGCACTTAGTTCTAACAAGATTAAGATTGAGACTTTGCTTGCGTCAGTGTTCAGCCGGATATCGTTTGTAACCAACCTTGACGAGAGCAGTCTCAGTGCTGTGTTGGGGTCTAAAGCCGGACTGAAACATATCAAATGAGTTGTTGATTATAAGATATCTAGTAAGCTGTAGGTAGACAACTTTCTCAAGGACTTCCCCCATAAATGGCAGATTTGAGATGGGACGATAGTTGTTAAGTACCGTAGCATCCGGCCTGCTCTTTTTTAGAAGGGGCCTGATGACTGCAGTTTTCAGGGCCTTTGGGAATATCCCAGAATGAAGGGACGTGTTTACTATCTGTGTGAGTAAAGGTAACAGACTGCTCAGAACAGACTTGAGAAATCTAGTGGGTAGTACATCCAGGCTGCATGTGGAGGAGCTCAGATTTGTGATTATCTCTTGGACAGTTTTATCATTTACAGGTGCAAAGTGAGTTAGCTCAGAGAGCCTTTTTGGCTGTTGGATTGTTATTTGTGGGTTGGAGACAATGGCGTTTCGATGCCTTGAACCTTGCCATTGAAAAAATGTGCAAACTCATTGCAATTACGTTTGGAAGTAAGCTCTAATGGCAGCTGAACAGGGGGGTTTGTTAATCTATTAACTGTTGAGAACAGAACACGCAGATTGTTACTGCAGCCTTCATAATTTCAGAAAAATACCTTTCTCTCGTACTACGTAGCACCCGGTTAAACTCGCACAACTTATCTTTGAAGATCCTGTAATCAACCTGGAGGTTGGACTTGCGCCACTTCCGCTCGGCCCTCCTGCACTTTCCCTTCTGTGCTCTGACCGAGTCTGCTTATTTTTCACTATTTTAACCTTCACAGGGGCAACGGTATCCAGAACATTCAAAACACTAGAGGTGACAGAGTTAAACAGTTCATCTACAGTAGAATACGATGCATTCTCAAAGTTTATCATTCCCATAAATAGTTCACTCGTATTTTCATTTATGTGTAGCAGCGAGGAAACTTCTGCGTACTCAATCAAACAGCGGCACTAAATGGATGTAGAAACAGCCACTGAGTGACAGAATTTTACAAGGATATTGCGTGAAACTGGACATTGTAGAACTTTACCTGGAGCTGGTGAACAGGCAGCCACCACAAGGGCCTGGAAGAGTGTGTGGGCAAAGAGGTGCATCTTAGATTGGGAGCCCACCAGGCCAGCGCTATGGAGCGGCAGGTAAGAGCTTGCCAGCACAGGTCTCCAAAGCCCGTCTTACCCATAGACTGTAAATATTAACGGACGTAGTCACGCCTTTCACCGCAAAACTAATGTGCCACCACTTTTGGCTTCTATGGGCTTTTTCAAAATGGCCGCGGGACAGGATTATGTGAAAAAACCCATTTGCGCATGCGTAAGATGGCTTTAGCCCCATTCATTCGACGAATGCCTTCTTAAGTCCTAGGCTAGACTAGACTGGTCCAGCAAAATATACATTGACAGTATATGGAACATACAGTAGTGTTGGGCCAAGAGCTGACTTTTGGACCATCTTGTAAAGAAGTTTTAAAGAGGAAAGAAGACGCAATACAAAAGCATTGGGTAATTCTTATTCTGGATCCAGCCGAGTCTCTCCCTTTGGGAAACAGGAAAAGTGGAGGAACCCCTCTTGAGAAGCTGAGTTCCAGAGCCAGAGCTGTTTGTGGATGTGAGGCCAACTACTAATTGGTATGTCTCAACCTCTGTATCTCTGGCTATTGCCCAGACTGGTCAAAAGCCCGGCCAGGTCCTTGATACAGTAGAACACTATTCACAGTGGACTTTGGACCGCACTTTGTCTGACTGTGTCACCAAGTGATATCAACTTTGAAGAGCCAAAGACAAACACTGGATGGAACTTTGTGTAAGCTCTCAGTCGTACAGGGATTAGTCAACGCAAAGGAAGGTTTCTCACCCATCATCTGTACTCCTTAGCAGGTTTTTGTTGTCGTTTCGTCCTCAATCCAATGGACTTCTTCAGGGAATGAATTCTCAGACCGCGCGTTGGAAATCTATAACATGAAATTTATAACCTATGGGTGTGGTTAGCCACACCCTAATCCTGATACTAACTCATAAACAATCTAAGGTCTGTTTGATGTAGAAGGGAGCAGGTCTAACGACCCTGCTGAGGCTAACAACCCTAACTCATTAGCATGTCACAGACCTATTGTCTGCTGGGATTGCTCAAGTGGAGTGCAGGTCTCACCCCTCCTAACTCATTAGCATGTCACTGACCTTGTCCCAAGTTAGGGCGTTGTTTTTAGGATGTTGTCATAGATGCGAGGCAAAACAAATCTTAACCCTCCTCCTCTGTTAAGAGAAGGTTTTTGTTTCCTCACAAAAATGGCTTCTTTCACCCCTCTCTCAAACCAATTCTTCTCCCGAGCCAGAATTTTAACCTCTGTGTCATCCACCGTGTGGTTGGAGGCCATGAGGTGGAGATGAACAGCCGACTGTGGCCCACTAGAGTTTTCTCTACGTTGTTGGTAAAGTCGTTTCCGTAGAGTTTGTTTAGTCTCTCCAATATAGTGGTCAGTGCACTCCTCTTCACTACATTTAATTGAATACACCACATTGCTCTGTTTGTGTCTGGGTGTTTTGTCTTTGGGATGCACTAATTTCTGTCTTCACGTGTTGAAAGGTTTGAAATACACAGGGATTTTGTGTTGCCTAAAGATTCTTTGTAGTTTCTCTGAAACTTCCGCCACATACGGTAAGGACACCCCTCTTCTCCTACTTTCTTCTGTCTGTTGGACGTCTGTTGGACGATACATGGGTTAAGTTAAAGAAAAGTTAAAAAAACAGGAAGTGGAACCATTTTCGGAACACATTAATTCGGTGGACCCTTTTATAAATTTCACTCGCGAGGATGCTAAGGAGAGTGAACTCGCCTTTCTAGATTGTAAGGTCATCATACTGGAGAACGGACAATTAGAGACTGAGGTCTTCAGAAAGTCCACTCACACTGACCAGTACCTGGCCTTTGATTCAAATCATCCGCTACAACACAAACTCAGGGTCATTAGAACGCTTCAACACCGAGCCCACCAGGTCCCCACTAGCTCGGAGGGAAAGAACAGAGAAACCAAACATATTCCGCGAGCACTTTCCAGATGTGGCTACCCCAAGTGGTCTTTTACTAAAGCCCAAAGGACGAGAAAGGCCAGAGACACAGTCCAACAGACAGAAGAAAGTAAAAGAAGAGGGGTGTCCTTACCGTATGTGGCGGGAGTTTCAGAGAAACTACAAAGAATCTCTAGGCAACACAAAATCCCTGTGTATTTCAAACCTTTCAACACGTTAAGACAGAAATGAGTGCATCCCAAAGACAAAACACCCAGACACCAACAGAGCAATTTGGTGTTTTCAATTAAATGTAGTGAAGAGGAGTGCACTGACCACTATATTGGAGAAACCAAACAAACTCTACAGAAACGACTTTACCAACATCTTAGAGAAAACTCTAGAAAACTAGAAAACTAGAGAAAACTCTAGTGGGCCACAGTCGGCTGTTCATCTCCACCTCAAGGCCTCCAACCACACGGTGGATGACACAGAGGTTAAAATTCTGGCTCGGGAGAAGTATTGGTTTGAGAGAGGGGTGAAAGAAGCCATTTTTGTGAGGAAACAAAAACCTTCTCTTAACAGAGGAGGAGGGTTAAGATTTGTTTTGCCTCGCATCTATGACGACATCCTAAAAACAACGCGTTAACTTGGGACAAGGTCAGTGACATGCTAACGAGTTAGGGTCGTTAGCCTCAGCAGGGTCGTTAGACCTGTTCCCTTCTACATCAAACAGACCTTAGATTGTTTATGAGTTAGTATCAGGATTAGGTTATAAATCTCCAACGCGCGGTCTGAGAATTCATTCCCTGAAGAAGTCCTTTGGATTGAGGACGAAACGTCGGGAAAACCTGCTAAGAAGTACAGATGATGGGTGAGAAACCTTCCTTTGAGTGGATGGAACTTTCATTCCATCCACTCAAGAGAAATGGGGTTGGGGCATTTACCAGAGCATATTTACCATAGCATATTCTGAATCTTTCTTATTTTTCAGATATTCACTTTTGAAACTTAAACAAAACCATTGGTAATTGATTGATCATTTCATTCTTAATATTCACCTGCAAGGGTTGCGTTGAGTTCAGCCACTTGCACCTGTAGCTGGTCCCTCTCCTCTGTCAGATTCCCATTCTTCTCCTGCAGGGAGTTTCTTTCCACTCGAACTGACTCACAACTCTTCTCTAGCTCCTGCTTTTCCATCAGCAAACTATTGTACGATGAGTTCAGCTGCTCTGTGGCCTTGACCAGAACATTGTACATGTCTTGCAGTAGGTTTTTTTCTGATGTGGCATCCATGTGACCAGCTTCTGCCTGGTCTTTTTCAGTGGATGTTACATGGAGTCTTTTTTCCAGTTTCTCCACATCCGTCATCAACATGTTGTAACTCAATTGGAGTTGGTCTTTGACTCTTGTGACGTTGTTGAAGCTGTTCTGTAAGATGTTTCTCTCTGAAGACAGAATCTTATAGTTCGAATCGAGTGTGGTTTTGAGTTTGACTGCCTGCTCCAATTGCACCTGGAGAAGGTCTTTAGCCGTAGAAAGCTGTTCAGTATTGCTCTGTAGCTTGACAACAGTGGTATTAATCTGCTGTAGCTCTTTAGTTAGAGCTGCATTACTGGTTTTTAACATAGTCGCACTCTGTCTCAGCTTTCCTGTCTCCTCAGCCAGCAAGTTGTAGGAATCTTGAATTTGATTTTTTCTTTGTGTTGTCCTCTCCAAGGTCTTCTCCGTCTCCCTTTGTCTCTCCTCTAAACTCCCTCTATCTTTCTGAACACTGTACATGCTTTTCTGGATATTATCTTTCTCAGCATTCAAGCTTTGTAGTTTTTTTATATTTTCCTGTTGTGCTTTGCGATCTGAAGAAAAGAAAAGTAGAGGCCAAACATTAGGAAAACTTTCCTTTCTTCTCCCATTGCAAGAAGTTCTTACTATCATTCAAACTTTACTTTGCATTGGGCTTATGGATTTCTGAGCCATGTTTCTAAAAATGGGCCTAAAAAGATGCAAACCTATTAAAACTAGAACGTGACTAGATGATTTGGGAACGACCAATTGAATTAATGTAACAATCTGGAAGTAATTTGGATATTGGCAATTACAAAACCTTCATTAATTTGAACTCCGAAGCCAAACGGGAAACCAGATTCAGTATGTATAATTATCATGTATCTGCATTCAGACTGGATGTGTTCCATAGTTTTATCTATTTCATGTGTGTGTGTGTGTGTGTGTGTCTGTATGTGCGTATATGTATGGATTGCACAAGGAAGTGTGTGTGCATGTGAAAATATATCCTGTGGGTTGGTGGGTTGATGGGAATGCAGTATTAACTGTCCAGCCCTTTTGTGTTGCACATGATGTCACGAAAAGTAACAGACAAATCCCAATAGTCACTTACAGTTGACAGATTCACCGATGAGAGCAGCAAAGAGTAGAAGACAGAGGACCCCGAGACACACCACGGCCCAACAAATACGGTTTTCTTTCAAACTGTGAACTGAAAATAGTAAAAGTAAATATACATGAAAATATAAAGCTGTTAATTTGAAGCATATGTATTGATTTTATAGCTGGTTTCCTTATTAATGTCCTCTTATCAGTTTTATATACACAGAACAAAATGGATGAATTCTGAGTGTTTTTACCTGAGAAGCGTAGTTTGCTGGGGTCCATCAGAAGTCTTTTGTAGGAGATTTTACTGTCTTCAACGTCCATGTTGGCCACAGATGAGTCCTTGTACTCCACGCTCATGTTGCTGCTCTGTCTGAAAGTACGACCAACACATTTACGGTCACGTTTTTTCTCGCTTCCCGTTTTTTACCTTCTCCTTTGTTCCTCTTTTTTATCAGTATTCCATACTATGAGTAAATCTCTCTGAATGTCTTTGATGTGTCCAGCATTAAGTGTTGCTTGATGAACTCCTCCTGCTCCATTTTATGTCACATAAACATAAACATGTGCACCAAATTCATCTTGTGCACATCTCAGTGAGTTTGTGGTCGAAAGCAGCATTTAGGGCAAAGAGCAGATTTTTACGTAACCCAGAATAACCTCTGAGCCGGTTGGTCTGTGGCTTGATTGTGCAATAATGCTGAATGGTTTTTCATATATAAAAACAACTAAGATTGTAGTAGAATGGCTCTGTTCATTTTGTAAAAGTAATTCTTTTACTATCATTCAAAACAGTTTTAAATATAGTTTACACTGATGAGGCCACAGCTTTGAGACTGAAAAAGGGAGATCATACTTTTAAAATAAGGTATTTTTGACACTTTAAATAATGATTCCACTAAACTTGATACTAAATTTGTATTTTGTTCTGTTCTGTTACATTTACAGGGTTTGTTACACTGTAGAATATGTCCCGCGATGTCAACATTTATACTGTAACCTAGTTTTCATCAGTGTCCACTGTGGTGTGCAACAGCCACACATATTTTCAGTTCACATGGGGATATCCTTCTTAGCAATGCCGTGATCCATATTCCCTCCCTATAATACACTTTTGTTGTGGCCATGGCAGGGTCTGGTTAGCACTGGGATAGGAGACCTCTGGGAACGGCGCTTTCACAGTGGGGCAGCTGCAAAGTACCAAATTGTCGTTGTGCCCTCAGGCAAGACACTTCACCTACATTGCCTAGAATGAGTCATGTGGGTGTGTGTGGCTGAAGCACTATATAATACAAATGCATTATTAAAAGTTATTTATTGTGAAGAGAAAACTTTTTCTATATCAATAAGCAAGAGGGTTGCTACAGTGGAACCCTATAGAGTCTGGTCCAAAACCATGGACTGAACATAGATGGACAATGCTTACACCCCTAGTGCAACAAAGCCAGATAAGAAAGTGTGCAAGGACAAAGTGTTTCTCCAACTCGCTCTGGCTCCTTTTGACTTACATTGAATTAAAATATGTGCCATGTGACATCATTCCACAATTTGTGCTGCTTGGCGCCTGAACAGAAGGAGCTAGAGGCACCTTCTTCAGTTTTCCTGCGAGAGGGGCCACCCACACCAACTTTGTATGATAGTACAGCGTCTACTTAAAAAATGAAACACTACTGAAATTACACACTTTTAATTGTTTATTATACATAAAAACATAAGAAACAGAAATACAGTTGGAATATCAATTATTTCCATCTTCATGCTTCTGTTTGCAATTTGTGGGACAATTGCAAAGTATAATAATCAATAACACTAAATAAAACATTATATATATATATGTAATATATATTATAAATCTGAACTTTCCCCACTATGAGACCAATAGAAGGTGTCTTTATAAAAACACTATTTGTCCAAAACATGCCCTGTCTTTTAGTATCAATATTTATTTGAATGAGTGTCCAAGTTGATACTTAAAATAGATTCACTGATTTATACTATTTTAATTCTGTAAGAAAATTGCATTGGGAACTAAGACATGCAAATCTAATCTCAATGCTGCAGCTGTTATTATTATTATCATTATTATTATTACTTGCTATTTGCAAGTAATAATTGAGGAATAATTAAGTATTTTCATGTTGACCTCCTTTTGCCTTTAAATTAATACAGAAATGTCTCTTTGTTCAATAGTAAGCTTTAGTATTCGGCATATTTCACAACACGGATCACATGACGGGAACACAGGAAGTAACTATTTCAAAACCTCAAAAATTGCTGAGTTTAGGGAATCAGTATTTTCTAGTTTTTGTAAACTGAGAACATAGCAACAAGTCACAAATATGACAGTTTTAGGTTTTGGCATTTCAAGAATAAAACATGTTTGTTATGATTGTTGCTCCAGGCTGAGTTTAGCCTTTTGGACATATTAGTTATCTGGAAGTTAAGTTTTATAGTAAGATAGTTAATAGGATCTGTGTTCCTGAGTGACATACAGTGGCTTACAAAACACTGATGCAGCTCGAGGTTTTGCATCATAAATATTTTGTTTTCACTAGTTCAATAACTTCTCTTTTATCATTTAAGAAACATATATCTATTTTCATGTCATGCTTGTTTGTAACTATGTCGTTTTGTACACAGTGTTGTCACAACCCACTGTGTATGACATTTCTGGCCTTCTGCATTCAAACACAAGAACGCTGCTTCTTTCAGAATCAGTGTGTTGTGCTCCACTGGTGCTACAGCTGTAGTTCATAGTGATGGTGGCGGACCCTGTAGAGCAGGCGCTCTAACAGAGATGGTGCACATGTGTCAGTGGGATAACCGTCCGTGACTCCCACACACTGAAACCCAAGGCGCCTGTACAAGTTATGAGCCGCTGCTGTGTAGTTGGTCGTTCCCAGAACAACTTTGGAGACATTTTGAGATGATGCAAATTCTAGGACTTTCCGTCCCAGTGCCAAGCCCACGCCACAGGACCGGTGTTTCTGGTCCACAGACATCCTCTTCAGCTCCACCTCGTCTGGAACACTTCCATGGTCTGGACACCTCTGCTTGGCTGCAACCAGCCCCACCACCACACCATCCACCAGCGCCACCCACAGGCAGGAGCCTGCACAGACAACACCAGCTCAGCTTAGACTCCATTAGTACATTCAATGTTTTTATGTTGCTCTATATTATCCACTATGGGGCTAGTGCCGGCGTGAGCGACTGTTGAAGAGCTACCGACTCCTCGGTGTGCGCTTGGGTGCAGAGAGTGTGCATATTTGTCTCCTCTCGCTTGCGTTTCCTGGTTGTTAATTATGTTTGGGCTGAACACAAATATCTACAATTCTATCAATTAAACGTCTGCTTCACTCTTGACTGTGTGCAACATTTACGGCTGCTCTTCTCTCTCACCGCAACCGCAGGCCCCGTTACACCACATTTCTCTCTCACATTTCCTATTGTTGATATAGAGATAAACAATGTATATGATCATATATTTTATCTCGGTAAATTGCTGAATACCTGGTGCCTTCATATAAGAGCCCTCAATATCAGCCATGTCTGTGTTCATGGCGCGCTTTGTGTATCTGTTCTTTACTATGAAGCTGCAGAAGTAGCGTCCGCAGAGTAAAAGCCCTGGGAGGAGCACTATCACCCACAGACACCAGGAGATCCACACACACGACACTGAAAGATAACAAGAGTCAAAGCCCATTATCACACACAGAAATGAACTCAGCACTACAGAGTTAATGACTTCCACATTGTGGGGTCTATCTTTACATAGTTTTTGAACTGCTTAATAATGGCAAATGTTCCAACACCACTGTCTCAGAATCAAATGCTTTGAGTTAATTCAATTGTTATTGAATAATGATAAACCCAAAGTTCAGGCGCCAAAGTAACTGAATTCATGAGCTATGGGAATCCAGGAGACTATCTGCTGTGTTGCTCTCTTGAAGAAAATTAGAACAAAATAATCCATTTACACCATTCTTCACAATTCACAAAAACTTTAACATCCCTTCTCAACAGCAGAAGTGTGTGATCTACATTCGTTGTACAGGGCTCAATTCCATTCAATTAATTTGAGTATAGCCCTAAATCGCATCTGATCAGATCAAATCAGATCAGATCAGAGAATCATTCAGGGAAATGCAATAATGACAAACACAATGTCCATTAATTATATGTCCCAGATCAGCACAGATGCAGATGCAGTATTGTTTGTACTACTAGCACAGTGAAATCTAAATATATTTGTTATCTAGAATAATAAAACTAGAACAATTTAACTGATACAGATAACTGATGGATGATGATCAGAATAGTACATTTCATTTGAATGAATGATTTCAGATGAACATACATTAACATTCTGGCTGACCTGCCAGGTTTCCATCACAATATTATATGAAATGAGCTAAATGCCATAGTAATTGTTGCACACATTTCAGGACAGTAAGAGGAGAAATACTTGACAATAAAGCCATAGGACTGTTTTGAGATATTTCCGTACACATATAGCCTGTACCTAGTGTTTGCACTGAAACCAGTTGAAACCAGAGAGGATTTACTTTTTGTTATACAGCTAAAATAACTGGTTCTTAAAGCTCTGGCTCATTCAGTTGTCAGAGATATGTAAACGCTGGTGTAAAATGTCACAGCTTTCAGACATTGCCTAAAGGGTAAAAATTATACAGTTGTGGATAGCTCTGGACATTCTGGCTAACCCATAGGTTTCCACACATCACAATAAGATAAGGGGTAAATGTAAGATTGCAGATTGAAAATTTTCAGAGAATGTACTAACAATCTACAGATTTCACTGGTAATGTTTAAAACTATGAATCCGACAAAAGTCCAGTACGTTTTGTTAAAAGGCTGATGACGTAAGAAATCCACTTTTTCGAAACCAAGGTGCTCTTTAATTTTATTGTGAATTTATTTGCAGTGATTGGTTATATGTCTGCCTCTGTATGTAAGCGGCTCTCAGTTCTGCTCAGTCAACACATTCCCTGCTGCAGGGAGTGTGTTGGACGTTTTTGGAGCTGTACACAGCGAGAGTACACAATTCAACTGTAAGATAGGGATTGTATACTTGTTATTTGATGCTAGAGTTAAAGATTTTGTTTTTTTCTTTAATTAGGTTAGCCATCGTTTACTTATCATATCTTGTGCTGTGTGCTCCTCTTTCCTACTCATCTATAGCTTGTGATGCAACACTGAAATTTCCCCACTGTGGGACAAAAAAGGATCTCTTAATCTTAAGTAAAGTATTATCAACATGTGGAACAGCATACTGGACTATTTTTTTGTTTAATCTTTTTGTAGAGATTTTCATATTTAATTTTGACTTCTGTCCTGGATCTGTGTGTGTGTTAGCGTGTATAAGTGCTAACAACACAAATCATGCTTTATGAAAGTTGACAAATGGTTAGAAACTGGTTCCTATAGAAGCAGCTCCAACTCTGGCTACACCAAGCTTCATGGAGATAGTTTTAAGAAGAGGTGTATGTTTTGTACAGCTTGTGTGTTCTTACCTGTGATGGCCGTATAGAGCAGCAGACTCTCTGGATGGTGTGGTAACCCTCTGAACGCCGTGTCTGGGACCATCTCCTCCATCCCCTCACAGAAAATCCTGATGACCTCCCGCTCATCTCCGCTCTCATATTCTCGCACTTGAATGTCTTTTATTGTCCTTTTCCTCTTCCTTGTCGCCTTCATGTCTCACTGTTTGGTTTGTTCTCGCTGTACTGTCTGTTGGCTGCACAGAGTCTGAACATGTTTTACAAGCTTGAACACATTCCCTAACCAGTATTGAATCACTTCCAGATGGACTTGGTCAAAGGCCAAATGTAACTCAATTCACTTTGAGCTGATAAAAGCTGATAAAGCTCAAACATTGAACCATAATATTATTTTGATATTTTTTTGATTTGATGTCACCAAATTCTCTGAAAAACCTGCAAAGCAAAAACGTCCTTCCAAATGATCAAAGCAAAACATGTGTATGATAGATACACGTCTACGCACTCTACACACACACACACACTCTACACACACACTTGTCTACACACACACTTGTCTACACACACACTGGTCTACACACACTTGTCTGCACACACACTGGTCTACACACACACTTGTCTACACACACACTGGTCTACACACACACTTGTCTACACACACACTGGTCTACACACACACTTGTCTGCACACACACTGGTCTACACACACTTGTCTGCACACACACTGGTCTACACACACACTTGTCTACCAAGTTGCAGCTTTCATTGTTTTCAATAAATAAAATTTTATTTCAAACGATAAATACAAGGCAGCAGGATTAATACGATCAAATCCAAAGCACAAACTTAAAGATCACAAATGACAAATAAAAGACTACAAGTTCATTCTTGAAAACTAAAGACCCACTTGTTCAGACTCTCTGTAATGTGCGCAATGATCACACTGTTACGGCCCTGGGTCTGAACATCTTGGTTTTTTGTTAGCTCCCTTACCCTAGCAGAGGTCGTAACAAATGTGGGGGCTCGTCCGGGATGTCAGACGCCTCCCAGACGTCTGAGTCACAGACGTCTCTGAGGGACAGTTTTTCACCAATCACAAGCCAAGGATCTCAAAGCAGAAGGGGTGGCCACACACCCACACAAAAAACACACAAAATCCAAAACAGGAGCAATTTTCAGGCCCAGGGTCGTAACACTGTCCCCCTTAAGTTACAAAACATAACCTATGTTGTGAGTCAGCGCAGCTGTGAGTCTGAGGTGGTAGTCTGCAGCACTGGGGCCCCTCAGGGCACTGTTCTCTCACCGTTTCTCTTCACCATCTACACTTCAGAATTTACACACGACACACACAGCAGTCACCTGCAGAAGTTCTCAGATGACTCCGCCATCGTGGGCTGTGTGTCTGAGGGGAACGAACTGGAATATCGGTCGGTTATCACAGACTTTGTCGACTGGTGTGAGCGCAACCACTTGTGCTTGAACACCAGTAAGACCAAGGAGATGGTGATCGATTTCAGGAGGAAACCACTTTCTCACACGCTGCTAAACATCCAGGGGGAGGACTTGAAGCTGGTGGACAGCTTCAAGTACCTGGGTGTTCACATTAACAATAAACTAGACTGGTCCCATAATACAAACGCCCTGCACAAGAAGGGCCAAAGTCGCCTCTTCCTTTTGAGGAGGCTGAGGTCCTTCGGAGTGAGCAGGCCTCTGCTCAGGACTTTTTATGACTCTGTGGTAGCTTCTGCCATTTACTACGCTGCCGTGTGCTGGGCCCCGGGCAGCACAGGGCGGGACAGGAGCAGACTGAACAAGCTGGTCAGGAGGGCCAGCTCCACTCTGGGCTGCTCCCTGGACTCTGTGGAGGAGGTGAGGGACAGGAGGGTGCTAGCCAAAGCCACCTCCATCATGAACAATACCTCCCACCCACTGCACAGGACTGTAGAGGAGCTGAGGAGCTCCTTCAGTGGAAGACTGAGGCACCCTCAGTGTAGGAAGGAGCGCTACCGCAGGGCCTTTATCCCCCACCGCTGTCAGACTGTACAATAAGTCACTTTAAGTCACTGTATAAGACTGAAAAAAAATAAAATAACTTGCACTACTACTATTGACACTATATCTGACTGCCACTTTAAATTGCCACTTTAAATTGCCACTTTTATTGTACATATATATCCTGCATGTAACATGTTTGCACATTTCCTCCTTTTGCACAATCTGAGTGTTCTATCCATGCTAAATGTGACATGTAAATTTCTCCTTGTGAGATAAATAAAGTATATCTTATCTTATCTTATCTTTTGTAATCACCAATCCGAACATGCTCCCGTGATGAAGATGAGTGAGGTGAGATTACAAATCCTGGTTACAAATCCTGGTTGATTGGGCAGGGCCCAGAACACAGGTAGCCCGGTTAGCTGCTCCAGCCCCCATGGAACAGGACATGAAATGTGAACAGGTGATCAGGCCGGACACAAGTCACTCCTGAATCACTCTCCAAACACAGGTTGTCATTGTCTGCACTGCACAACAGCAGCCACCATTTCACCACCCAATCAACAAACACCAACACTAAAGTTCGAAAGCCAATTAAAATACCAAGAATCAAGTTAGGCTGAATCACTTACCAAATACATGCCAATTAACTTTGATGTGCTTTGATCCCAGACTAGCCTCCACGTTTGTTACAACCCAGCTCTGCTAGGGTAAGGGAGGTAACAAAAACCAAGATGTTAAATGGCAAAGTAAGTATTTAATAACAGGAATGTAAACGATAAGACATAAAGCAAAAAAAATTTACATTTTTTGGCATGTATCAATCTGGACGTGAGCGTACGTTACGCACAGAATTTACACCAAGTCAGGAGGTGTTGTAAATGTGTACGTTCATTTCAACCTTCATTACAACACGCCAAAACACGAATTAAATTCAAGATTTGGACAACAATAAACATGTTCCCACTGTCTATAAACTCGCAGTTTATAGACAGGATAGTGGCTCTGGGCAGCAGGTGCCAGGAGAGGTCCCACCGCATCACTGCTCAAATCCAGAGATTCTCTGTGAAATCACGGACGCAAACTTTCTGAGGCGGAGATATTATTATTCATTCATTCATTAATTCACTCACTTCTAAAGTGAGTGCTGCAGTGGGTCTTTTTAAGCAAGCGGCTCCCAAACAGTCTTCCTGGCCGAGTTCCATCCTGGCCGAGTTCCATGCTGACCTGTCGTAAAAACAGGGCCGTTTCTGAATATTTATAAGCGTGACTTTCATAAATTTACTAACAGCCGCGGCTGCGTACGCTCAGATCTGGGCGCATCTCACACGTTCATAAATCCGGGGAGGAGTAGTGCGTATATATGGAATCTACACCAAAAATATACACCCCTTTCTGCGCAAGTTTCACAAATGAGGCCCATAGAAACTAAACACTAAACTGACTGCTGTCTCAACAAATACGAATTGTCACAAAACAAAACCTCAAAGAGACAAACCAAATCAAAGCGATACGGACCATGTCTTTCAAGTCATTGCCACAACTTGTGACAATGACCGACATTCTCATAAGGACTGAATGGCATACCAGCCACACACAGGCTGGCAGCCCCGAACAGGTGTGGAGTGTGGCCTTTAGTAGGAATGTGACTCCAGGTGGGGAAGCTGGATTGGTCCAATCGGCATCTCGGAGGGCCAGTTTTTCACCAATCACAGGCCAGGGATTTCAAAACAGAAGGGGTTGCTGCCACACACGCAAAAAAAACCCCACAAAATCCAAAACAGGAGCAATTTTACATGTCTCCTTGAGAAGTGCGTTGACTTTCAGTTCAGACTAGAATGTCTCGACAAAGAACTGAATGCAGGGACACAAACTAAAACCTTTATCCTTTTTGATTGATCTTATGGGATACTCTATTGTTTGATACAGTATCATTAACCAAAGACAAAGGCTCCCACATTCGATCTCACAGCAACATCAGGCAACAATATTTTAGACTCATTTAAATAAAATTCAATACACTTTGATGATCTGTGTAAAACATACCAGCCACAATCCCTGATGGACTGAGGATAAAATAACTGTTTAAGGGCTATACTTGGTTTAAGATCAAGCTATGTTTTGTTTAAGGAGGAAAATTATTGAAACTGTTGATAAGGTTTATAAAAATGACTCAAAGATGTAAAATAAGAAAATAATGAGCAGAGTTAATGTAAATTACACAGTAGTGTTTCAAAAATCCTTAACTTAACTTAACAGTAGATTTTCAAGATTGTGCGTGTTTTTTTAAAGTGATGACACTTTGGCAGTGTCAGTCTTTTTCTGGTCCTTATCATAGTCAACATAGTCTCAGTAATAATCCCTGTTCACTGGGCGTGCTGCAGCTGTAGTTCATAGTGATGGTGGCGGACCCTGTAGAGCAGGCGCTCTAACAGAGATGGTGCACATGTGTCAGTGGGATAACCGTCCGTGACTCCCACACACTGAAACCCAAGGCGCCTGTACAAGTTATGAGCCGCTGCTGTGTAGTTGGTCGTTCCCAGAACAACTTTGGAGACATTTTGAGATGATGCAAATTCTAGGACTTTCCGTCCCAGTGCCAAGCCCACGCCACAGGACCGGTGTCTCTGGTCCACAGACATCCTCTTCAGCTCCACCTCGTCTGGAACACTTCCATGGTCTGGACACCTCTGCTTGGCTGCAACCAGCCCCACCACTGCACCATCCACCAGCGCCACCCACAGGCAGGAGCCTGCACAGACAACAGAACATCTTACATGAACACATGTGTTCCCTCAAAGCTCGCTGCACTCCTGTTGTATTTAATTGGTTATTGCAGATTTATGTATTTTGTATTGACCATACTTTGATTTTCTCTGTTGAGCTCTTTGAAATTCTTTGTGTATAAACTGTGCTAAACCAATCAAACTTGATTGATTGAAGTTTAATGGGGTCCTCTACTTGTCTCCATGGAGATGTGATTATTTGGATGTGTTCAAATGTTCCAAAATATGGCATTTGTACATTCTCATAGGGACAAATAGATAGAGGGGTAGTTTTCTGACTTATATTCAAATTATGTAATTTACTTGCTGCAATTTGTTGGACTTATGTGATTTGGAGACCCTCTGAATAAGAATGCTTTTAGGTCATCGAGGATTATGATACACTGGTCTCAAAGAATTACAGTTCTGACCTGTA